GCTTTGCTGAGGGACTGGAAGGCTGGCTTTAACCACCAGGGTCTGGGTTTTCGGACACAGGGAGGAAGGCGGGGTTTGAGGTAGCTGGGGTAGACCCCGTCTCTCCATAAAGGCCGCCACCCTTCCTGCCCTATCACCTGGAAACACTAGCCACCCAGGTGTGCATGCCTTGCCCCTCGTGTGCACTCAGACCTTCGCCTGGTGTCCACAGATGTGTCCGTGTGGGCCTTGCGCACCTCACTGAGAAGGCCTGGCCAGATGAGCGTGGGGTGATTCATAGCACAAAGGAACCTGCCGCGGCAGCCCCCGCACCCACCTTGTGTGCACACTGTGTGACAGGACCCATCTCGGCTCCTTCTGCTCGCGGCCATCAGCAGAGGGAGGCACCTGGCCACGAGCATGGGCGCGTCTGGCACCCCAGCCGTGCAGATGTGGCCTTGTGGTTGTACCTGCCCAGGTTGTCTGCCCTGCAGTTGGGCAGACATCTGCTGAGTTGTGTTGACATCTGCGGAGGCTCTAAGACTCTTGGGACCCATCCTTCCTTCCACAGGGGTTCTTGTCCTTTCTGACTCAGGTGACTTTTCAGCCCTTCAAGTTCCTCCTTTTTCTGCCCTCCCCTCTAGCTCAGCCAGCCATGCGTGGGCAGTGGAGGGAGTGTCTCCCCGCTTTCTCAGGGCAGTCCTCGTCTCCTGAACCCCTGCTTCCTTCCATCCTGTGACCCCTCCCCATCCAGCCTGAATGCCACAGCCGGAGCTGACCTCTTCTGTGGGGGTCAAGGCTGTGCAAGGGCCCCACTCCCTGGCAAGAGCTGCATCTGCCAGGAGGGGGCTTTTTTTCTGGTTTGCGGAGATGTCCCATGGGCTGGCTTCTCCCCCATCCCAGCCCCGTGGGAGAGAAAGGCCAGGTAGGGTGGGTCCCAGGGGAGCGTGGAGGGCTCTCCTCCCCCACCCTCTGCCACTGTTAGCCTAACTTGAATGTAGAACCAGTGTGTGTGTCGCCTGACTGCTGTGTCCTTGGGAGGTCAACAGAGCTCTGCAGGGGCAAGGATAGGTGACTCTTCCCCTGTCCCTCCGCAGTTCCCAAACCAAAGACAGCCTGCACCCCATTTCTGTTTGGGGTGCTCGGTTAGCAAGATCCCCAAGTCCCGTCTCTCCCTAACCTCCTTAATTCCTAGTTGTCCAGGGTCAACTCAGTGCTTCCACAGGGGACAGTCCCTCGCAGGTGACCTGCTTCACCCCCAGCCCTGGTTGCATCTAGAAGAATGTGGAGGTAGGGCTCGGAGAGGAAGGGGCAGCAGGAATCACCACTCGTCAGCAGTGGGACCCTGAGGAGGGGAGAAGCTGAAGTTTGGGGTTCTTCCAGGTAGGACAAGGGCTCCCAATAGAGATGGCAGTAGAGGGTGGTGGGTGGGTGGGGTTTCTGGCCTATTGAAGGTGTTGATCCATAGCTTTGAGACTTGGCGGCAGCTGCCGATCGCAGTCATGCCGCCCAACCCCAGGGGACACGGAACTGCCTCCTGCATCCCCGGCACTTGCGTAGAGCTGCCTGCAGCTTGTGAGTCTGTGGACTGGGTCTCTTCTTGTGGGTTTGGCAGCAGTTTTCTGTCTGCAGAAGCAGAACACACCTTCGTCTTCCTCAGCCCTTTGTGGCCCCCAGGACCCTGAAGCTCAGGGAGGGCTGAGGGCTAGGAGGGTGTCCTGGCATGGGTGGCCCTGAGATGCCCTGCTCAGGTAGCCATGTGGCACTGGCTCTCTGGGGAGGACAGCTATGGGCTTCAGGGCCTTATCCGGCCCAGGACATAGGAGTTTCCGGTCTGGAGTATCCCAGGTGGGCGGTGATCTCCCACCCCATTGACCCCCTGAAGGCCAGTACTCTTGGGGTGGGAGAGGGCTCGGAAAGCCACCTGCCTGCCTTCCCCTGCCCCACATGTTTTGAATGTAGAGGCCGGCTGGTACTTTCCCTTTGCCATGGGTGAGAATTTGCCTCACCCCCGGCATGGCCGCCTGCGGAGTAGAGACAAGCTCCTCTGGGCTGTGAGGTTGTCGTTCTCGGGATGGTGATCCCTTTGCCAATTTCTTCCCACCTCCTGCTCCAGGGGCAGGCGCCAGTGTCTGTAAGATGGTGTAGCTTTTGCTTTATAAGTGGCCACCAGGTCTCAGCACAAGAACGCTTCCTTTGCACAGAATGAGCTCCGAGCTTTGTTCAGACTACATGAATGTACTGGGGGTGGGGGGGCGAGCGCGCGCCTTCCCGGGCGAGTGTGTGCGGGATTCTGTGGGTGCAGAGTGTGGTTTTATTTTTGTACTGATATTGGTAAGAGACTATAGCATCTATTTATTTAGATGATTTATCTGGTAAATGAGGCAGAAAATGATTAAAAATGATTTTAAAAGATTCCCGGGCATTTGGTCATTGCTTCTGGTATTAGCTCTGTGCCCAGGAAAGAGATCAGGCCCCGGGTCTGTTGGTTCCTGTCAGTTTGCTGAGGCCTCTAGGTAAGCAGTAAAGATTCACTGAGGGGACAGGAACTGGGCTTTGTGGTGAGTCGCCTGGGAGGCGCCCACAACCCTGGCCCAAGCAGTGTGTTGCCAGAGGCCCAGAGATACTTCAGCCCTTAACCCACTTTTCTCTCTGCTTCCGCCTGGGTATTGTGTTGAACCTAGGCCAGTCTGGAACCCAGGACCACCATGGGGCTAACTAAGTACCCTTGTCCGAAGCCTGAGGCAGGTGGTCAGAGGACAGAGTGCCAAGAGTTCCTGCAGGTACCTGTGGTGGACAGGTGCAGGCAGGGGGCTGACAGCTGTCCAGGAGGGGTAAAGGTGGCTGGACCCTACACAGGAGACAAGTGCGATGGAAATCCTCACACGTGGCTGATTGGATGCCTGTGTTGGGGAGGGGGCCGAGATCACAGCTGGGTTTCCAGTTGGACGGCGGGTGGACACGGGCCTCATCGGGATAGGGGACTGAAGGAGAGGAAGTAGGCATGGAGGCATCTCACCAGCTAGGCCGAGACAGGCGCTGCACAGAGTTTATCTGGGAGGTGACCCAGGAACGGGCGTGAGGGGTTAGAATAGTGGGAAAAGGAAGAGAGTAGCTTATTGAGGCCAGCTGGGGTGTGGTTGAGGGATATCATAGTGCACAGTCCCCAGCCTCCACCTACTTTTCCTCCTGTTATATTGAGCCTGGGGTAGGATGGACTCTGTGGTGCCCATCTGTCATCCCAGCTACTCAGGAGGCTGAGGCAGGAAGATCTGAGGCCCAACTGGGCAGTTTAGCAAGACTCAAAAGCCCTCAGGATGTCACTCAGTGGTATAGTGTTTGCCTAGCATGTGCAAGAACTGGGCTCAATACCCATTACTGCAAAGAGAAAGAAAAAGAAAGGGAAGCAAGAAGAGATGTTTGTTGGCCCTTGACATCGCAGGGCACTGTCCACCTGTCTGTGGCTGAGATGAGAGGACGTGAAGAGGTGAGTGCCAGTGGCTGTGGAGGTGTGACAGTGCCCTGGGCTGCTCTGTTTTCCTTGTTTGCCACAGTAAGTCTGCTTTCATGGACCTTTTGAAGAGGTGGCCCTGTGTGGTTGGTGGATAACCATCTGTCCTCGGGGCTGCCCTGGGTAGTATCATCTCCTCCTGTCTACCACCCCCTCCCCTGCCAGAGACCCACTGGTCCAGGCTGCTTGCTAGGTGGGGTGACCTGGACACATCCGCAAAGAGTCCAGGCCCCTGCTGGCCTGCCCTTGTCCAATCAGGCTGCACTGTCTCCGTCCCCAGTGGGCATGAGGGCAGGAAGATATGCCCCAGGGATGACCCCAGGTTCTAGATAAACTCGCTGCCTACAGGATGTAGCAGCAATAGTGCATCTCAGGACAGTCACAGTCAGTTTACCTCATTGACTTCGTAATTGCTGTTTTCTGTTTGCCTGCTGACCCACCGGTCCTAGGAGCTATGAGTAACCAGGTGGTGGTTGTAGCTTCTGATTTCAGAGTCCCTTTTCCTATTCCCTGGAAAAATGCTTCCTCCCCTGGAAACTAGGATCGCTGATGCACCAGATCTAAGTCAGAGCTGAGGAACACAGATTCTGCAAGTTGGTGAGGAGGTATTCTGTAGCCTTTGGATGGTGGCGATGGCATAGACATTGGACAAATTGTGAATTGCTGAACTCACCAGGAGGAAAGGCCACTGTACGCAGCCTGCCACGGTCTCCAGCTGCCCCTCCAAGCCTGGCACCATGTGGAGACTCACGTCAGTATCTGCCTGGCTGGACGTTCATCACCTGTGCTAAGTAGCTGCATTAGTTTTCCATTGTTAGGACAAAACTGCCATACACAATTTAAAAGCAGAGAGGTTTATTTTGGCTTAGCTTCAGAAGTCCCTGGTACCAGATATTACCCTCAAGGTCCTGCTCCCATGACCTACTCAGACATACCCAGAAGTGTGCTCTCCTAATTTCCCAGGCATCTTGAGCTAATCACCTAGACAAGATTAACCATCGGAAGGCCACCCCTTGTCAACTTGACACCTAAACGCATCTCCTTAAACCATACTTAATCCCCAAATAGAGATAATAAATAACAAGGTTATAATTCCACCTCACATAATCCTACCATCCTGCAGGGCTCATCTCTTCCCCAGATCTCATCAGTCCCAGCATTGCTCAAAAATCCAAGTCCAAAGTCTCCTCTGAGACTCGAGGCAAACTCGTAGCTGTGCATCCCTATAAAATTCATAAAGGAAGCCGGGCGTGGTGGTGCACGCCTGTAATCCCAACATTCGGG